ATGCAGAAATTTAAAATTACCGACATAAGGGAATTACACCATTTCCTCGGGGTCAAAATCGAGACAGATTTGAATCGTGGACTAACAAAGCTGTCCCAGAATAGCCAGATAGAGAGAGTGATTGTTCGCTTTGGTATGGAATATTGTAATCCCGTTAAGACGCCAGCTGAACCAAGACTGAAGTTGAGTCGAGAGACTGAGCGTTGTGAGCATCCCTACCGGGAACTCAAAGGAAGTCTGATGTAAATCATGATGGGTACACGACTATGTTTTGTCGTTGGATACTTGGCAAGGTTCCAGGATGCAGCCGGTGATGAACATTGGAAGCAGGCCAGATGAGTGCTGAGGTACCTAAAGGAGACGAAATATTTGAAATTGGTCTACAGGAGGAAGCCGAAGGAACCCAACCTACGTGGACGCTAGATGACAGACCGTCTATCTGCAGAGTTCCTGTTCCCGCTAAAACTATTTGAAGACAACCAAGGATCTATTGAAATGGCCGAACGCCACAATTAAAAATAAAATGGAATGATCTATTTCAAGTTTGAAATCTTAAAAACATATTACGACATTACGAATACTTATGCTAGTTTTGTAACTTGAAAACTTTTCATGTTCCAGAATCTTGAAAAATTTTCCATGTTCGGAATATTTTAAAATACAACTCCCTGAATCTTGAAGATTTTTCTTAATTCATGATTTTGATACCCTTGGAGCTCTTTACAGGATTTCTTCAGCATGTACTGAAGAATTTCCTTAAAATCATCTCAGCGTATCCTCAGCTCATCTTAGATCTCTCTCTGGTATTCCCTTAAAATTTACTTCTTAACCCAAGTCGCTTCACCTGTGGACAATGCGTGATTTTTCCAGGAGTAACCCAAGGATTGTTCTCACATTATTTGAAAAGAAGATGTTAAGGATATTCCAAGGATCATTCTAGTGATGTTGAAAACATAATTTACGGTCCCAATTTCCGTTAAGACATGATAAAAGAAAAAAAAAATGCTGATATAACTGGGCGTTAATGGGTTTATACTCTTGAAAATCTTCGGCAGAACACTCTTTGAATTTACTCTGGATTGCTCTTCAAATTATTAGTAATTCTTGCAGTTATATCTAGAAGTTCTCCGAAGATTTCTTCTGAAAATTCACTTGTAGACACCACCATGGAATTAATCTAGAATGCTTGTTTAGTTTTGCTCAGAAGTCCCATAAATTCTTTGATATGCTAATTAGAATTCCCATTGAATTCTCTAAAAAATATCACCGGGGTAACCTTGGAATTCTCCTCAGAATTCCATTGAAAATTTAAATGATCCTTGAACTGCACATAAGTATTCAACGAAAATTGATATTCTCCCAAAAACTTATTGAAATTATCCTCTGAATTCCCTTGGATTTGTGCTTTGAATTACCTTGGAGATCTACTCAGTATTATTATGAAATTTTGCATTGCTGAGGTACTACCCTCAGAAATTCCTTTGAATTTTCCTTGAAATTTCTTTTGAATCCTATTTAGGGTTTACTTGGAATTCTACTCAGAGCTACCTCCTTAGGTTTCACGAGGAATCTGGAGTTTTTCAGAACTAACTTGAAAGCAGAATCCACTTGATTTTTTCTTCACAGTTCTTCCCAGAACTCCCCTGGAATAAGTTTCTTAGAAATTATCATCAAATTCCATGAGCCTTGAAAGTTATGCATCTTGATTTTTTTTTTAAATCTGTGATCTTATAAAATGTTCATTCTTCGACATCATGAAATCTTCGTTCCAGTATTGTCAATTCAGAGACAAACATTTGGCGTCAGATTAACAGCTTTAATGACTTGCTGCGGTTGAAAGTTGCGTTGTATTTTTTCCCTGAAATGGTAATATCTTGAAAAAAAAATCCAATCACCGACATTTCGTGTATATAACGGGGTTGATTTTTAATTTGAACTTCTAGTAACCCTAATATGACCATCAGAAAATCGATTTCTGGTAGCAGTGGTAGCCTTATTTGCTGTTTTGTTTTGATTCTTCAATTTCGCTTTCTTTCCAACTGCTAAATGACGTTTGAGCCATTTTTAATTTGCATGGCGTTCAGATTAGAGGGGATAAAGTTGTTCAGTTGGACGAAATCCATTCAGTTCAGGGCATCAGAGTAGAAATAATGCTATTTTTGTTATTACTCAGGATGGAGCCTAGATAGAAGTATCTTGCCTGCAGCAATGCAGCATTACAAGTTTCTATAAATTCAGCAGAATTATTTTCGGGGATTCATTGGGGTTCTCTGAAATTTCAGTTGGGATTATACGGAATCTTTATTGAGATTATTTATAATCTATGTCTTTGTGAGATTCTCCGATTTTCTGTTATTTTCTGCTCTTTGATTCTCCAGAAATACTTTGAGAATTCGCAAGAATCCTTCTTAAAGTGCTTTGAAAATTCAAATGCTGAGATTTTCCAAAATTACTAATATGATTTATCTACTCAATTCTTCGTGGAATTCATCGGAATTCATTGTTATGTTATCCATTCTAGATAGAGCTGGAATTAGGGCCCAACAGCTTTTGTAAACAATGGCTTTTCTCGATGATTTCTAGGAATTCAAGGCGCGCCAACGCAAACCAACACAGGCATCGGGTAGTGGAAGGCTTCCCATACCTGATGGTGATATTGGTTTGATTGGGCGAGCCTTGAGTTTCAAGAAATCATCGAGAGAAGTCATTGTTTGCAAAAGCTGTTACGCCCTAATTCCAGCTCTATCTAGCATTGTCTCTTGTTTCTATGGAATTTCGATTGAAATTCGTTGGAATCTTCCTTGGAGATATTTGGAGTGACTGAGAATGTCAATTGGGATACTTTAGAAATCTATTTGATATTCTATAGAACTTGAGAACTACTCTCTTGAGATTATCTATGATTCCTCTTTGGTACTCCAGACTAACTCTGGTGATTCCACGAACACCTTGTGGGAATGATTGGTTGTGTTGTGGGTTGTGGGCAGTGATATCTGGCAATCCCTTTTGGAATCCTCCGGAATTACTCTTGCTGAGATTATCCAAAATTCATCTCCAGAACCACAATTGAGTTACATCTCTCGAATTATTTTTGAAATTCATCGTAAGGTTCTTCTTAACGCGAAGCTTACCACCTCGAAAACCAATAACCAATTTAGCCATGTGTTGTTCTAAAAATATTGGAAAAAGATATAACACATCCAAGAAAATCATTTTCCATTTCCTGAGACTCTTGTGAAAACTTACGTGTATTATTTTTTAAATTTCATTATTTAAAAAAAATATGAGAATATTAACGACGAGAGATGATACATTCCGGGAAATGACGTACTTCATCGTATGATTATCAAAGACGCGATATTTAAAAGATTACCAGACGAGACGCTTCTGTTGTTTCTTGTGTTCTGTTACTTCTATTAGATATTGTGCTTCATCCTTGTAAGGTATACCTCGATATAACGTAACTGTTGACTTCCATCGCTGATTTCTTATATGCTTTTTTTCGCCTATTTTATATATTTGCCAAATAGACTTTTCCCTATCAGTCTTTATTTAGACAACAAAATTCCGAAGAGATTAAATAAATAAACTGCGTCAGTCATAAATGACATATTTTAGACAAATTTGGTTGTTAGTTAAGTGCGATCACATTAGCAATAATCTCCATCTTAGCGCCCCACGATTTCAATAATTTTAAAAGTATATTCTCTATGATGCAGAAAAACATTAATCTACTAACATGAGTAAATTGCGGAACAGTTGAACGTTGGTTAAACCGCGAAGTATGACGTTAAATTCTAACCTTCCACGAATGAAAACATCATCTGATCGAGTAAACTTTCTTTACCAGATGATAGGGGAAATGTCTCTAATGTTGGCCTATGGATCTAACATTGGACCCATCGCTAAAAATCTGCTATTTATCAATTTTATCTAGATGAATGCGTTATTGGGACGTTACTAATGGATATTTTTGGTTGCTATTGAAAATTTACGACATTACCTGCATTTCCCCTATTGTTGATTTTCGTGAGTGAGTCTTAATCTGAAAGTCATTGTTTACATAAGTTTGTTTGGTTCCATTTTCATGTGTCATTTAAAAGTTACTGGATTTTTCCATGCGAAACCGGGACTTCCATTGAAAAATTTCTCTGCACAACGAAATAAATCAGACATAAACAACATGTCAGAAGGGTCTAACTCTAAACGTAACAACCCAACAAACAATTTTAGCTGTAGATTAGCTTATACAGCCAAAATTTGCCTTATGCAGCTAATTTTTGCCTGTATAAGCTAAACTGCAGCTAAAATTGTTTGTTGGGAATGGCTTGGATCGTCGGTTTCTTACAAACGGCAACACACCCACTCAAACTAACTAAATCATCTGACAAAGCAATGTTTGTTACATGAGCTGGTATAGTCAGATTCCGTGGGTGTGTGGTGATTCGTGAGAAATCGACATTCAAAGTCATTGTTTACGTTTCGAGACCTTTCTGACATGTTTCCCCTGAAGTTTGTCAACTGAATAGGGAATAAAACCCGTCGCCTCCAGCGTGGCATTGATTCAGGGATGCGACTTTACTAACTGAGCCAAGCGGTACGGAATGATGATGTGTGGAGTAAAGTGTGTCAGTTATATAACTAAAATAAGTCCATATTGTATTCCGGAACAGTGGTAATTATTTTATTAATTACAATCACCCGTGTTAGTATTACGTAATAAAACGAATAAACATACTAATCCGCGTTTATATTTACATAGCTCATTGCAAGCAGAAGACTTCTAAGCTTTAAGAAAGAAAAAATCATAGTTTATTTATATCAGTATCTTATGCTTCTGCAACCGGAAGCTACCCATCAAATTGACCGGCGATACATAATTGACACTTCTCTCAAAATTCCCTCATTTTCCGCTAAAAGCCTGTTGTAAAGAAATCAATTACATGTAACCCGTCTACATTATATGTTGATACATAATGCGCAACTAAGCAAACACTCACCTGTAGATGCGAACTACGAATTTCCTTTCTCTACCCACGGATGACGGATGGGGGACACCTTATCCAGGCAGGAGAACCACCAGCAGCAGCTTTCTTCGTGCTTTCTGCTTTGCACTTCAATCCACCGTGTGTGTGCGCCAACGGGGCGAAAAATAGAACACAACAACAACAAAAAACCACACGACTCTCTTCTTGCTGCCGGGGCTGATGTGTGTTTACACCAAATTCCTTCACTTTCTTTTTCTCCGGAGAAACCACTAATATATGGGGAGCAGAGCACCGCGCGACGTCTCGGGGAGCCGACCAAAGGGGGTTGTATCAAATGAAGGGAACGGAATGGGATTATCACTTGCAATATTTATAAAGGAAATTGTGCTGGGAACTACGCCGAACTGCCGAGCGACACAGGACGGAACGGAAAAAAGCTATCTTTCCTAGTGGATGGTTTTATAACACCAGAAAGGAAGGGAAAACTGGGGGAAGCTCTTTATTTCTTCTATAATGGGGCCATCCGTGAGTGGTGCACGAAGGGGGAAGCTAATCAAATTTCTTCACCATCATGGCCTTGTTCCTGTCGTGGCAACGGGATCGATTCTCACTAAACTTTGTTATTGAGCTATTCTTCAGCATCCGTATGGAGCAACAGGATAAATAATACCGGATGGAAGTGGGAAACTTTTCTCACTGCCAAATTCCATTGCGGTCCTTACCTCTGCCTGACCAGACGATGCAGAGACAAAAAGAATTTTCACTTTTTTCGCTTGAAAATTGGGAGCGGTCCCATTCGCTGAATGATTCTTTTATCCCACTTGCGTTCTTCACAACTACTGTTTACAATCTCACTTCCGGTTTGCTTTTTCAAACAAATCGACGGCGATTCGTAACAAAAAGTTCAATGAGACGCGTCAATTTCCGATCAATTCGCGGTTAAGAAATAAATCTTTCATCCGAGATAAAATGAAACGAAGAAAAGAGCACACGCCGTGTTGCGTTGCTGGAAAAAATCTGTCTGTGACTGTGGTGCTGGCTGGCTGCTAGCTCGCCCGACCTCGGCACACTCGTCGGTGTTTGCGCTGTAGTTCCAATGAACGGCGGACGACGGGAAGAAAAGAAACAGCATTTCTGTCAAAACACCACGATCCCGGCCGTGTTCTCACAACCACATATAAGTATGTAAACGCGCGTGAAGGCAGACGGCAGTGTTAGAAGTCATGAATGACAGAGGATCTGTTTATAACGGGACTTGTAGTTGTATCTCGCTTGTGTCTGGGGAGTTTGAGCCGAGTGGGAGCAGTACAGCTATGTTTCCTTCATCGTTATCATGGGCGTAAGTTTAGAATCAAATGACGTGATTTTAGAACGACCGAGTGAGTTCAATGCTGCATACAAGTTGCATGTGCGTAGGGTGACTATCACTAAATTGGATGTACACTTATTACGTAGCATAAAATATCCGGATGTAACAATAAGTAACGCTTGGCAAGCCCCCCCCCCCCCCCTTATTGCGTAACGATTGGATAAAAAATCACAATTAAAATTTTGAAAAGTATTTATCTGGGAGGAAGAAGCAGATAGCAAACCGGAATTTATTTTATAGCTTGTTCTTCTTGTCATGAAAATGCCATGTGCCATTGAAATCAAATCAACATATAGGCGTAGCAAAATAGCCTATTTTGATTGGAGCGTGTATTTTAAAGTGGTGACAACCAGGGCGTCACAATATCAGCTTCAATCGACCTAATCGATGCAAGAAAGAGAAAGAGACTGTTGGCTCTGTTTTTTTCTGCTAAAGTCGAACAGTTTCGCAGCAGTTGGTGTCCACAAACAAATCTCGATAATTTTTTTCAAAGGGACGTATCAGATTTTGTAAACAATGCATTGGATCGTCGATTTTACGAAACTGATAGCTCGCTCACGCATGCTAACACATCCATCAGATAGGGGAAATTTTCCCCTACCTGCTAGTGCTGTTAGTAAGCGTGTGCGAGCTGTCAGTTACGCCAAAACGACGATCAAATGCATTGTTTACAATTGTTTACATTTAATGTTCAATCGCTTGTCTCTCTTTCTTCCGTCGCTCAATTGGTCTTTCTTTCAAGCTTCGATAAACGGACGAGCGAAAGAGCGCTTGAAATTAATAGTTTCGTCTTTCATGAAACACATCAACAGAGGTTTCATGACGTATATGACGGAAAATGAAAATATATATTTAAAGCATTTCTAACGTAAAAACACTTGAAGATTACACATAATATGTTTGATTTATCTTCCATCTACATATTTATCTAAAAAAAAAAATAACGAAAACGGGACATAAGGCATATTAAACAAATTGAAAGAGCGGTGATAGAGTGTTGATGATGATGATGGTCCCACCTCTTACCCCTACAAAGGTTTGAGCTGGACGATTTATCTTTAAGATAATTAAATATGACATTTTAACCAGGTTGGCAAACAAAATCGAACTGGTTTCAGTTACAGATATAAATTCCCTCTAGAGTTTACAGTTGTTTCAGAGCGATATAAATGTGGAAAAGCTCAGGCGTCCACCTCTTAGTTCGCCTTTTTGTCCACCTGAAATATTCATAAGTATTACAAGCAATCAAAAGTTCATGAACAATCAACAAAGCATCCTATTACACTAGTAACCTCGCAATCTGATGCTATCATAATTTTCAGCAATGTCAGGAATGCTCACGAACCCCCAACATTTGCCAGAAAACTTACTACTTACTCAAGGTATCTTCCAAATAAGCTTCAAAATTGCATTTTTTTTTCTCAAATGTTCTATATCCGTAATACGCGCGCGAGGGTCAAACCTTTGTAGACTACTTTTTTTTTACTACTACTATTAAATCAAATATCAAAAATCCATCATCACCATCGTGGCGAACAGAAATAGTTTTTGCAGTGCTACAATAATTATTAAAAAATCGTTATAACAGCTATCCATACAAAATAATCCGTTAAAAATAACTTCGTCAAGATACATAATTTGTCAATTCATAAAAAAAATCACTGGATAACCGTTTAAAAGACAGTTTTAACGTGTGAAATGCAATGTCTCTTAAATTCTGCTAATGTTGTTGCACGTTTAATGTGTCTAGGCATCGAATTGAAAACATTTATTCCTTTAAAAAATAATGAATTCTGTGAAGCACAAGTCAAGAAATGTGGTGTTCTTATTTCATCCGCGTTTCTAGTATTATATCGAGGGGGGCGGGCGACACATCTAAATTTCAAGTTAAGATGCTCAACAAATCTCACACTAGTGAATCAATCTTCGAAAAATCTTCTTTCATTTGTCACATCTACTTGCATCGCGCATCATCTTTTTGCAGGAAATCGTCAGAATCGTCATCAATCTGCTCTCTATCTACTCAGCGTGCGCGCAGCTAAACACAGCAAAACACAATCTTTTCTGCATCGTAGATAGAGTCGTTCCCCTCGTATTATATCTATGATAGTCACTTCCTCTTTCAATTCGATCACACAAATATTGAGGCAGCAAACCGTTAACTACTTTGAAAATGAACATCATAGTCAAATATACAATTCTTTGCTTCACCGACAACCATTGTAAGGCGTCTAGCATCAAAGTTGAGGAAGTGAATCTATTACCTCTCAAAATCAAACGCATTATTTTATTCTGCAAGCGCTGTAATCTCGATATTTGTGTTGCATTGGACAGAAATAAAATGGATGGGCAAAAGTCTAGATGAGGAGAGATGATTGATTTGTATAGCTGTATTTTACTGGCAATAGTTAAATCGTTTTTCAATCGACATAGAATTCCATACTTCTTGGCAATTTTCTTGATGACATTGTCAATGTGAGAGTTGAACTTAAGTTTGTCATCAATAATCACGCCAAGATATTTAATCTCCTGAACGCGATCAATAGTCTCATCATCAATTACAACAGAGACGTTCTCATTCAATCGATTCCGCGAAATTACCATAAATTTAGTTTTACTTGTATTCAATTTTAACTGCTTACACTTCAACCATCTACTTAGATACTGCAAATCTTCATTCAAGTGTGAGACGACAACTTCTAAATCCTTAGCTGCAATGAATAACACAGTATCATCTGCAAAAAGATTAATGTCGCAAAACCGTAAAACACGTCGCAAGTCATTAATATACATAATAAATAAAAGGGGCCCTAATACACTTCCCTGGGGCACTCCAAGGTTGTTCCCCACGGGACTGGAAACAGAATCATTAAAAACAGTCCGTTGAGTTCTGTCAGACAAATAGCTTTCAAACCATTTATATGCAGTACTCGTAATTCCAAAGCGCTTGATTGTACTTAACAGTAAGGGCCTAGAAATTGTTTCAAAAGCGCGTTTCAGATCCAAAAAAACAGCAACACTCGTATCTTTACGCTCCAAGTTGTCTTTCCACTTTGCTAACACCAAATTCAATGCAGTTTCACAAGAATGACCTTCCCGATATCTCTATTGTTCTGGTATCAACAAAGAGTTGCTATTCAAATACTCCAACTGCTGGCCTATAACAACAAGTTCTAAGATTTTCTCTAATGTGTGCAACATGTTGATGGGACGAAATTCTTCGGCTTTAATCGTTCCAGCAACTTTTTGAATAGGAACCACTAAGGATTCCTTCCAAATTTGTGGCACATGTCCATTCTACAATGATTTATGAATAAGGTCCAGAAAGATGTGGCCAATGACATGAAAGCAATCTTGAATAACTCTAGCATTAACGATGACTATTCCCATGCAAGGGAATTATTATTATCGAATGACGACACTCTACATGAGGTAGACCCTGCTAATGTAAGTAATACTGAACCTCCAAAAATCTCTTCACTTCCTCAACAGAATGCGACTGAAATTTTGGTGTATTGCCAAAATTTCAATCGCATGAAAAGCCCAGCTAAAATGAAAGAAATCCACGAGAACATTCTATCTTCTTCTTTTCAAATAATTCTTGGAACTGAATCAAGCTGGGACGAAAGCGTCAGAAGCGAAGAAATTTTTGGAAACAATTTTAATGTATCCCGGCACGACAGGAATTTTCAACTCTGTAATAAAAAGTCTGGTGGTGGAGTGCTCATTGCCATCAATGCTGACTTTACTTCTGAAGAAATCATAACAAATAAGCACAAGGAATTCGAAAATGTCTGGGTCAAAGCACTTATTGCCGGTGAAATACACATTTTTTCTTCTGTGTATTTTCCACCTAAACATGCCCACAAGCAGTCTTTTGAACTATTTTTTTCAAATTGTTGAAACTATAATGTCAAATATGGAACCAGAAGTAAAACTGCATATTTATGGCGACTTCAATCAACGAAACGCAGACTTTATTACATACATTGAAAATGAATCATTTTTACTCCCGGTCGTAGGTGAAGACGAAACATTACAATTATTATTCGACAAAATATCTTATTTTGGTCTTAATCAAATAAACGATGTAAAAAATCAACAAAACTCATATTTAGACCTTTTATTTACAAATTGTACTGAAGACTTCTGTGTGGATACATCATTAGCACCTTTATGGAAAAATGAAGTGTTTCACACAGCAATTGAATACTCAATCTTCGTACAAAATTCTTCTTCCTCCAGCGACTGGTAATACGAGGAAGTGCCGGAATACCATAAAGTAAATTACGAAGAAGCCAAACGTAGACTATGTACAATAAATTGGCAAAATTTAATAAGTATTGAAGGAAATGTCGATACTGAAGTAGAAAAATTTCACTCAATTCTTCAAAGCCTAATTTTAGAAACTGTACCATCAAAAAAAAAGAAGACGAACACAAAACAACAAACTACCCGCATGGTTCAATCCACAACTGAAACATTTGAAGAATAAAAAACAGAAAGCTCATAAACTATACAAAAAAGAAAAAACTGAAACCAATTTGCGAAACTATCACAACTTATGCAACCAATTACATACAGCCACCAACTCTGCATATGAGGACTATAACCGCAAAGTTGAAAATGAAGTCAAATCATGTCCTAAGAACTTTTTTAATTATGTAAACACGAAATTAAAAAGCAGCAATTTTCCTTCGCGAATGAATTTGGATGCAAATGTAGGTGAGAATTCTTC